GGCTACGTGGTAACAAACTAGAAGACAACCAGCAACGCTTGAACACAAACCTTGAACCGAAGCAACAGCCCATGAAGCCATCAGCATGCTCTCCGTTGTTGCAATGATGGCTGTAGAAAGAGGGAAAGAAAGGGCAAAAACCACAACTACTACGAAAAGGTCCTCAACTAAACCAAGACGCGAAAACCAGTGAGGGCAATAATTCATCATTCAACTGGTGCTGCGTCAGACCATGTTTTACTGATATAGTGAGCAGCTTCCTGCGCACTTTTCTTAGACTGCCACAGACTTAAAACTGCCAGGATCCGCGGGGCAGGAAACCCCCGATCCCTCTCAAATCCCTGAGGAAATGAGCTGAGTCCCGGCTCAGGAGTCACGGGGCAGGAGACCCCCACCCCCTCTCATCCACTCTACGCGGATGAGCTGGCTAGTGCAAATGTCTGTAAGCAGGCTTTTTTTTTTTTTTGCTGCGACCTGGCAAGCAGCGGCCGGTTGACTAGCAAACGCCGCGGCCCCGGCCACTCATGCCTACTTGCTACCGTCCCCCGAGCTATGGCAACGCCATCCAGGAGCGGACGCTCATCGCTCAGACATTTTTGGAAACAGGGATTCACCTGCAGCCGAACCAACAGTTTTCTCGTCATCTTGTGGGCATCAGGATACAAAGGGGGAGACGGCAGCAGATGCACATGCAACAAGCACAGCCAACCCATACCCACGCACAGTCGCAATACATGCACCAAGAAAATGGCTGCGGAGGAAAAAAGCTGATTTTTCTTGCTGGACTGAGCCTGTGCTACTACATGCGCAACTGTCAAGTATCTGTTTAAAAGTTTAGGTACGCATGAAGAACGTTGATTTGTCAGCATTCGTTTTGTGCTTTACGCTCGCCTCTGCAACCTTCTGATTCCGAAGCTTGCAGCTATAAGCCGCTAGAACCGTGCAGAGGGACCCCTCCCCCCCCTCCCAGAGGAAAAAAACCCTAAACCCTAAACCCTTTTGCATCCGGACTCCCGTGGGTGCTGCCAGAAACTGCCCAAGCTCAGGCTCCCAGGGCTACCCTAAACCCTAAACCCTAAACCCTAAGGAAGCTCCAGATGAAATTGCCAGCTCAAGACCTGCACAACAGCCAATTAAGCACTTCACCCAAACCCGACACCTGAACTGTAAACCCTAAACCCTAAACCCTAAACCCTAAACCCTAAACCCTAAACCCTACACCCTAAACCCTAAACCCTAAACCCTAAACCCTAAACCCTAAACCCTAAACCCTAAACCCTAAACCCTGAACCCTCAACCCTGAACCCTAAACCCTTGCGGGGAGGTTGGGAACCCCGATCGTTCACCTTTCGCGCAGCGCTTCGAACAAATTCTCCCCCACTCCGGGTGTCAGGGTGTCAAGGTTTTAGGGGGTTCGAGTGCAGGGTTTGGGGTTTGGGGTGTAGGGGTTGCGGTTAAAGGTGTGGCTTGAATAGGGTTTAGGTAGGGTTAAGCGTAGGGTTAAACGTGGGGAACAGGGTCAACATCGGGTGCAAGTGATTGAGGGTTTCTAGAGTTGAGAGTTCCCAAACCCTAACACCCGAAAACCCTTTCGAGCCCTACAGCCCCAAAAGCCCCAAATGCCCCTAGAAGCCTTAATGCCCTGACGCCTAAAGCCCCTAAAGCCCCTAAGCCCCCCCCCCCCCCGCCCCAAGGCCCTTAAAGCCGAAACCCCTGACTCTAAACCCGAACCCCACGAAACCCTAAACCCTAAACCCCCTAAAGAGGGGTTTAGGGTTCAGGGCTTTAGGGCGCAAAGGTTTAGGGGTTTAGGGGTTTAGGGGTTTAGGGGTTTCGGGGTTTCGGGGTTTCGGGGTTTCGGGGTTTCGGGGGGGGGGTTTGGGGGTGCAGGGGGTGTTAGGGGTGTAGGGGTGCAGGGGTGTGGTTCTTAGGGGTTTAGGGTTTCTTTGGGTCTAGGGGTTTAGGGATTAGGGATACAGAGATCTTGTGGTCCAGGACCTGGGTAGATCTCAGAAATGTCGCGGACAGGGGGGGGGGAGAAACCGAAGCGACGAGGGCACACGAAGTGTGCGCCGTCGTGGCGGGGCGGTTGACCCTAAACCCGAACACCCCAAGCCCTACACCCTAAACTCTAAACCCCATCAAGATACTCGTACATATTTACAGTCGGGCGTTTTTTTGTTTCCCAACTGTATAGACAACTCTTTTGGGGGGATATCAACTTTCCTACAGTGCAACACTCTCCCCTACCGCTGAAATCAGGCTAGGACCCACAGTAGGCCCTTATTCCCTTTTTGTTAGCGTTTAGGTTCCCTTGAAGGCCTTTTAAACCCAAAAGGACACCCTTTTTGTTCCCAGGCTTCTCTTGGGTCTAGCCCTAAACCCTGAATCCTAAACCCTAAACCCTAGACCCTAAACCCTAAACCCTAGACCCTAAACCCTAAAGCCTAAACCATAAACCCTAAACCCTAAATCATTTTTGTTCCCAGTCTACTCTTGGGTCTAGCAGGGTGCGTTTGTAAGCCCGGATGGAACCCAGTTGCCATGGCCCGGGCCCTGAGCCCTAAACCCTAAACCCTAAACCCTAAACTCTGAAGAGCAACCCCCCTGCCAGGTTGTAAATCGCTGCTTATGCCTTGCATCACATTGTTTCGGGATGCGACGGCAGAGAAGGTTGTTGTCCCAAAGGAGGAGCGAGCCAATTCAGGGAGTCGCCACTCCCTGTGCAGCAGTTTCGTTAGCAGCTGTTTCATCCACTTAAATATAGGAGCCTCAATAACTATACATATTATTATATATATATATATAGTTATATATATATATATATATATTTATTTTTTTTTGGGGGGGGGGGGGGGGGCAGGGCATTTTGGTATAATTGCACAGGGGCCATAAGGGAATCCTATTAGTGACTATTCTGACTCCGATATTATGTAGGTTATGACCTAGAGCTCCAGGATTCAGTTGCTCAGGGTTCTACTTAGTAGCACCTAGAAGCCTCCAAAATAAGGCCCGTAACCCACCTTCCTAACCCTACCTACTAAGTCAAAAGGGCTTCCAAGTAGCGTGGAGGTTGGGGTTTCAGGGGCTATGGGTTTAGACTGGGGGACCCTAGGCCCTAAACCCTAATTCTAAATCCTAAACCCTGAACCCTGAACCCTAAACCCTAAACCCAGTTTCGGCTGGAGCGGCTTGCCTCTCTACCCGACTCCGAGCAAAAATCAAGCTAGGGTTTTAGGGTTTGAATGTTTGAGGGCATTAGGGTTCAGGGTTCAGGGCTTTTACGGCTTGAAGGTTTGAGGGCTTTAGGTCCCCCTTATACTAACAGTCCTTTATAGGGATTATAGTACGTACCCCTGTTAATCCTGTTGAGGATTGTTAGGGGTTTTGTTTGTGCTTGAGGGCTTTCAGGGTTTTTAGGCTATACGCGCCGACAGGGGAAGGCTGTTAACGCAGAGTATGGTCTCCGACCTGGCCCCGTGGTAAAATACCGCCCCAGGGTTTCGGGTTATGGTTTAGGGTTTACGGGGGTTTAGGGTTTAGGCTTTGCCCACAGAGTGACCGTGCTCCCTAAGCCCTAATTCTAAAACCACCACATCGGGTGCAGGCGTTTGGCTTTCTAGAAGGATGAATGCTGCTCTTGTCCGCTCGCAGAAGTTGCCGCCCAGGCACAGCCACGACTTAGGATCGTTCAGGGTTTAGGAGGTTTTAGGGTTTAGGGTTTACGGTTTAGGTTTAGGGTTTCCGTCCCCTCTTCCCACCGCAAACCCTGAACCCCCTAGCCTTAAGTTATGAGTTATGATACGGATGCCTCGACGGCTCAGCAAACCCCAAACCCCAAACCCCAAACCCCAAACCCCAAACCCCAAACCCCAAACCCCAAACCCCAAACCCCAAACCCCAAACCCCAAACCCCAAACCCCAAACCCCAAACCCCAAAACCCAAACCCCAAAACCCAAACCCCAAACCCCAAACCCAACCCCCACCCCAAAAACCCCAAACCCCCCAAACCCCAAACCCCAAACCCCAAACCCTGAACCTTAACCCTAAACCCTATAAACCCCAAACCCCTGAACCCCAAACCCTAAACCCCTAAACCCCAAATCCCTAAACCCTAAACCCCTAATTAAGCCCTAAAGTTTAAACCCTAAACCCTAAACCCGAAACCCTAAACCCTAAACCCTAAACCCCAAACCCTTACCCCTAAACCCCTAAACCCCTAAACCCCTAAACCCTAAAAAACCCGAAGTTTCGGGGTGTTTGGCTCGCCTTGGGTGCGGCAGGTTTCACCCCGTGTGGCGCTGCTCTAGGGCTTGATAGCCCAGTTTTAAGGTTGGTTAGGGTTTAGGGTTTAGGGTTTCGGGTTTAGGGTTTAGGTGGTGTTTACCCTTTTGCCCCCTTTTTGGGCTTGAGCAGTCGTCATCCCCCAAAAGAGTACCACTACTCGGACCCAGGGTTTAGGGTTTAGGGTTTGGGGTTTAGGGGTTTAGGGGCTTAGGGTTTAGGATTTAGGGTTTAGGGTTTAGGGTTTAGGGTTCTTGAGTTTAAGGTTCCCTTATCAGCCCGAAACCAAACAGGGCACCCTGTGGGTCAAACCCTAAACCCTAAACTCTAAACCCTGAAGCCTAAACCCTAAACCCTAAAGCCCAAACCCTAAACCCTAAACCCTAAACCCTAAACCCTAAACCCTAAACCCTAAACCCTAAACCCTAAACCCTAAACCCTAAACCTGAAACCCTAATTTGTTCCTGGTTACTGTTGGGTCTAGATTGCGAATTGGTTACTGGGCTGCCAAGAAGGAAGGAGGTCAGAGGGCCACATCCCATCCGAAGTCCGGGATGTCTGGGCGCAGATGGCGCGTAGCCCTAAACCCTAAACCCTAAACCCTAAACCCTAAACCCTAAACCCTAAACCCTAAACCCTAAACCCTAAACCCTAAACCCTAAACCCTAAACCCTAAACCCTAAACCCTAAACCCTAAACCCTAAACCCTAAAACC